ACTAAATTCTAGAGAATTCTACATATATAGTTACTTGTGTATTTCAATTTAAAATTCAAATTAATGATCATTGATTATAAAATACCGTCATATAAAATAACTATTAACTAAGTTAACTTACTCAATTGAACAAACAACTCGTTTAAGATTGCGGCCTGAAACAATACTCCTCTACCGGTTGCAATATAAGCTTGCTCAAAGCACGAGTCTCATATATCAAATATAGCAAGTATTTCTTCAAACTGAACCGTCTAAAAAACACATGATATTTTCAACGTTTTTGTCTGATAGCTATTTCGATCACACTTTTCGTTAAACAATGTCAATGCCTGTCAATGAGATAGAGAAAACATAAAAATTTACAATCCAAATAAATGTTTTCATTTGAGATGACATCTGTTTAATGCTTTTTTGTGCTTGAGAAGGGCAGGCACTTCTATGCGACATTTTCTTCCCCAGTTTTCATTTGGACACACATAAATATTTTAAATAAATATATTTTACATAAATATTTTAAAATATTGAACTAATATATAAAACTACATTTTTAATAGTAATCGTATGGATTACAAAATTCGCATTTTGATTTCGTTTACAATTCTAAATATCAACCTGCAGTTAAGAAGAGACATGGTAAGCACCTCTTTCTGATACTACTATTATTTGGTAATCTGATCTTGGGATAATGCTATGCTGGTTAACGGAAACAGTCTTATTTATTAACAAAGCGAATAGGGATGTCCACTAGTAGTGTCAGAAATGTAACTATCCGTTACTTTGTATTCGTTACTCAAGAAATACCTGAGTAACGAATACAAACTTTTTATTGTATTCGTTACTTTTACTCATTTTACCAATGAGTAATATTTATTATAACTACTCTTTCGAGTACTTAGTAACGATTACTTCTAAGCAATTGTTTTTGCGATATAATAATAACTACTTTATTGTGAACAAAATTTTTCTTCGCTATCAAATTCATTAAAAATGTTTAAAAATATTAATATAAAAAAGTGAAATTTGTAATCATTTGAACCAGTAGGACGTGAAAAGCTAAATGCAAAATATGCGGATCAAACAATTAAATAAAATAATAATTCTAATTTATTAAATCTATAATTTATTATAATAAATATATATGCTTTTAAAAATTTCTTTTATTGCCGAAAAAAAGCATTTAAACTTCAGTAACGACTGCACAGTAACGAAAGCGCAGTAACGAAAACGCAGTAACGAAAGCGCAGTAACGAATACTGAGTAACGAATACATACTCGAAAAGTAACGGGTAGTTACAAATACGCAAAAGTAACGAAGTTTGGCACCACTAATGTCCACTGTAAGAAATACATTTTTCTCCTTTAATAATAATTTCTTATTTGTTGCATATTTGTAGGGGCAAGAAGTTTTGAACTTATTACTATTACATTTCTTTCAGGCAAAATGAATGAATATAGCATTTAACTGTACATAAAAGAAGTTATTGAAATGTGAACACTATTGATAACTGATCGCTTTTGTATCTGTTCTCTTTTTCAGGTTGATAACTCTTCTACAGAGTAAATCGGGTACTAACTTCTAGTGAAATCTTTTAACTAGAATATTGAAAAATTTTAGCTTTTTTCTGTATAGTTATTCTGAAAGTTTCTATTGTCAAATACTAATTGATGAATGTGATCTTATTACGGACATAGTTATGGTATAAATAATGTCTTTATATATATTTTTTTAAGTTTGTAAATTATAATTATAGCCTATGAATAGATTTTAAGAAAATATATTCTGTCTTGCTCTGTAACTCAATATTACTATTCATGGTTTTGTGTCGTAAAGGTAGATTGTGTTATAATTGCAATAATCTAAACTTGAGTCTCTTATTATCAACAAATGTAATAAAAATATAGCTTATACTACATTACCTCAGTTCACTTGCATAAATAAAACTTAATAATATCCTTTTATGTGCTTAAATACTGTAAACCACAAAAGGATTTAAATTAACTTTCCACAACTTTTATTCTCAGTTGCAATAAATCGGAGTGCAGCACCTGGAAGCAATATTAAAATTACACTAATAACAAACTTATACTACAATAACAAAAATAACAGTATTAAGCTAAGTAACAACAACAAAACCACAATATTAAACAAAACCATAGCAACAACATCAACGGCATTAACCTAAAATAACAACAAAATTAAATTGCAACAATACAACTACAACTACAAAACAAAACAATATTATAAGGGCATACAGTAACAACAAATGCAATAGCAAAAAAAACCAGCAAAACAACAGTTGTGTCAATAACAACAACACTAACCTAAAGGAACAACAACTTTGTTAACATAAACTCCATAATCATAATGAAAATGTGACAAGCAAAAACAAATACAATAAATAAAATAAGAGCACAGGCTATACGATTTGATACTCTTATAACAAAATCAAAAAAAAAAAAAAAAAAACAGCAATAACAAAAATAACCACTAGACAAGCTTCTTGCAGTGACAACAAAAACAGATGTTAAACTTTCGCCTTCTGTTACGGCAGGTTACAGGCGGGCACGCCTTGCCTGGTGAGAAAATTAAATTTTAAATTATTGCATATAATATGCAAAAACAAAGTAGAAAACAGTAGTTAAAAAAATGATAGTGACAAAAAAAACAAAGTTAAACAATATGCTTACATAAAAGACATTAAGTGTTTGTAGGTTAAAATTTTATACAATAGATAGAATAGATAGGTAGATAGTGCAGTGTGAAAATGGTAATACACGTATGAGGCTAACATCCAGTTCTGTTATAAAAAGTAGAAGAGTATATTTGATTTATTTCTATTTAAATTTTTTTATATGGGTGAGTTTTTTGTTGTAAGAGTACTTAGTGTTCAAGTTACAGAATTAATAATTTTCTAGATCTATGAAAGCGATATTGAAAAAATAAGAGTATTTTGTTTAAATTTTAAATTATTTGAATATGTACTCTTAACGCTGTTTTAGCTGTTTAAATTAACTAATCCGAATATATTGTTTATAGATAACATTTATTTTTGCCAAGTCTGCAAATATCTCTACAATTATTTTTTTTTTTTAAAACATACATGAATTTATTGCATCTTCTCTCACAATGAGACTAACAATAAGTTGTAAAATCTTATCACTAATTACATAATAGTAAAATTTTTATTTTAACTATACATTGCATAATATAAAATAAAATAAGTAAAGCTTATATCACGAACCTCACTTAAATTGGTGGGTTGAATTTCAGTGGAATGAGCGTAAGGTGGATTATTAAGAAATCAATTAATCCTTATGAGATAACTAAAAATAAGAGTGGTATTTACTTGAATCTCATGAATTTTAGTTAATGCCTGGATGGTCAGCTCTTTTTAGGCGGGAAGTAATGTATTGAAATGCGAGATTCCTACATAAGGGGAATATACCATGGGGCAATTATTTTAAATAATTTTTTCTGCTATTAAAAATAACAGTATTTTGTTTAAGTATTAAATTATTTGATAATACTTAAACAAAAATCAAAGTTTTCGATATTAATTAAATTAAATTTTAATATCCTTAATCAACACTTAAGTTGAGTATTCTTATACACTTTTTCTTTCATAGGAATATACCATTTTTGCGGAGTATTAAAAAATTATCGTTAAAAATAAAATGTTTGCACCACATGCTCCGCAGACTTAACAAGAGCAACCACAATTCAATTTAAACTTAAGTGCAGTTGTTGCTGTTAAGCATTCACACACAAATCAGTATTTATGTGTATATGCTGTTGCATTTATGTGTGTGTGCAGAAGTTTAACAAGTGTTTTTTGATAAGGATAAATTTTGTAGGCATATTAAGCACGTGCTTTACGTACGCTGTGTTAAACGAAAACAAAAATCAAAAAAAAATAAGTAGAAATTGAAAAATGTAAACAAACTATACCATAAGTGCATAAAAATACATACAAAAGTAGCCGGCAAAAATTTATCCGCGCAATGGCAGAGGATAAAAGAAAAGCTTTGACTGCGAGCTTTTATGCAGTTTTGGTATAAAAGCACTTTCGATGCGAATTAATGAGGCAGTTGCGATTTAATGCGTGTATAAACAAATTGTGGGAATTTGTCGGATATTAAAAGGAAAAAATATCTGAAATATATACAAGTAAAATTGCAATCGGTAGTGACTTGTTTGCATTCTGCATGCAATTAATTAACAACAAAAAAGCTGTATGGTAGCAGTTATTGTGGCATTTGTGGTTGACGTAGTGAAACCCACATACATATTTTTTAAATGAAGGCGGTTATAAAATAGTTTGAAGTTTTGCAAACAAAAAAGAACAAAATATGAACTAATTAAGTGAAAATATAAATTCATGAAAACTTTTCGTGGTTAATTAAAGTTGTTATATGTTAGCAAGTAGAGGAACTTTAATAATAAGAGAAGTTAATTTATAAAAAAAAATTCAAAATATTTATTTAGAGGTTAATAAACGATGTTATTTATTAAAAATAAAAAAAGTATTTAATTTTATAAAAAAAGACAACAATAATTCGTGCGAATATTATTGCCTCACACAAATAAAAAAAACACAGCAAATAAAGCAATTATTCTGTTGCATAAATAATAACATAAGAAAATGGCTGACATTGTTCTCACAAACAAGCATAAACAGGCTTGTCTTAATATACTGTAATCAAAGCTCTAAAAAAATAAATAAAATAAAAAAGTGTCATATTAAAAACATAAAGCAAAGGCTAAAAGCAAACGACAGAGTTTACGGTATTTTTGTTTTATTGTATGTTAAGAATGCTGTTACACAATTGTTGTCATAACAACATTTACTCTTATTAATTCCTTTTCATAACTTTGTGCTCGTGTGTTGTTGTTATTATTTTGTACTGATTAAATTTCATTACTTTGCGTGAAGAACAACAACAACAACAAACAATAATAAGAATCATAAACAAGAAAGAAAGACCAACAACAAGAACAGCATCTACAAAAGAAATATCAACAACTTTGGGGCATTTATGCATGTGTGTTGTGACTTGAAATTTATGCTTTTATGTTAATGTTGTTATTGTTGCTGCCGTTGACTGACAGTATTTGTTTTTTGGCATTTCATCTGGAGTAAAATGTAATTTATTTATTTATTATTACCTTTAACAAAAGCATATGGAAGCAGTTTCCGTTTATTAAAATGGCGGCTTAATCAAAATGTAAGTACATCGAAATTTATGAACATTATTTGTACGAAAGAATAAATTTATTCTTTTGATTGTTTATTAAATTTAAATTTCAAAAAGCACAAATTTGTATAATAATTAAAAAGCTAAAATTAGACTCAAAATTTTAAAATAATAACTTAAGTGTATATATTATTATGTTGATTCTAGTTGAGTCAGTGCACTTGAGCACTTTTACTCTCTATTAACTGTTGGGTTTCCTCATAACCCCTCTCTATGCCTTGACTGGATTACTTCATCAGATTAAGCAATAAATGTCCTCAGATCTGCATATCTCCCCATTTTGAGATTCGATAACGCGGTGTTTGTAAATCTGTCAGTTTTCGTAAATATTTTCAGGGCTCTATCCTTTATGTATTTTTTGATCAGATCAATTTTGAGATCCCTGAGAATATGATTCGTCCTAATGTACCATGGTACTTTGAAAAATCTTCTCAGACCTGGCCTTGTGCAATTTTTAGCTGGCGAATAGTAGTGCTTGAAGTCTTGCTGAACGCTACACATCTATATAGAAGTGTAGGTCGAATTATTTGGTTACATAACAGCTTCCTGTTCTTAGCATTTAGATTTTCATTTTTGAATAGCGGTTGGGAGTGATGAAGAATTTTGGCACAGCTAATTCTTTTTAGTTGACATTTGTAAGCCATGTGAATCGTTTGTGCACCGTGTTGCCTAGGTATTTTATGCTATCCTTCCAGTTTATTACCATATCTCCCACTCTCACTATCTTCTTATCCACTTAATAAGCAGCGCCTTCGTTTTTTCATTATTGATTATTATTTTCTCCAGGATGAGGTTTATATGCTCTTGAAATGTGTTGGTGATGTTGAGAGCACATTTATCCAAGTGTAGCATTCACGTATCGTCAGCGTATAACGCCAGAGTCGAGGCACCAAACATTGGGATAAATGTTGTACAGAGTGGGGGAAAGTAGCGATCCTTGAGGAACCCCTATTTACTCCCATGTATGAAGCCGCCAATGATTGAAAATATGGAAAATCATAATTTTATTATATTATTTAGTTGTTTTCACATTATGTTCCACGAGCCATGCTAGCATGGTCAAATCATTTTCTATATTATGATTTGTCAAAAGATTTTAAAGTTTGATTGTTAAACAGATATTTAGCAATGTACTGAATTCTAAAGTTGTCACAGTAAGGATATAGAGACTCATCAATTTTCTAATTTTTTTTGTTAAAGGATTTTGAGATGTTTCGAGTTTTCAGTATCCTTATCTCATTGTCATATATTTAAAATGAGTACATCAGCGTTGTTTTAAGTTTGGTATCCCATACTATCATCTTCAATATAAAAAGCATTATAAGTTGCAACTGCAAGAAATGAATCCCCAGTAGCAGATATTTAAATTCTTTCATTTGTTGAAAAGTTTATGTGGTAATGATAATATGTAGTTTAATTTTGTGCACACATATTTACTTCGATAATAATTAAATTCGATAATAATGTGAATAATTAAATACAAGAATTATCTCCAAAATCACTGATGATAGGTATTTGGCAATACTCGAAACAGCTGTATGGTCAGCCAAAAATTCAATTAATTAAAATAATATAAAAAAAATTTTTGTGGTTGTAGCTCACTACTGTTCGAAAAAACTCTTTTCGATAAAAAATTTTATTTTGCTTTTATTCCCATTAATCAGTGATCCAAATTTTTTGCAAACTTCAGTTTTTAAAAAGTTGTACTTCAGCTTTTTTATATTATTATCAATGATTATTATATATTTTAACCAAAGAGTCTTAACCAAAAACCAGTTATAATTATTTTTTATTGCGTTAAATGCTTCAGCAGCTATTTGCCTTTATATCGAGAAAGACAGTATATATA